TTTGTGTATTAATACGAAAACAACAGACATATAAATTCAATTGTGTAATTTAACTGATCTAGGTAGCTCTGTTTTGGAAGTTCAGTTAACGCTAGAAATGTGTTTTGGAGTTTGTACGTGTTTCGTCTCTAGTGGCCCCCATAAATATTTATATATAAACATACGTAAAGAAAACCACGTTTTTTTTTACAATACTAATTCCTTTTGTGCATAATTTTATATTGTTGTTGATAATTAATTAATTAAAGCAACAAAACAACCTGAAGAGCCGGTTGGGAGCTGAAAGAGCCGGCTGTTTTTAGTGAGCCGAGCCAAAAGAGACAGTTCTCTAAAAAGAGCCGAAAATCCCATCACTAGTAGAAACAACATTCAGACTTTAAAATGCTCTCAAATTATTTGGTTACTCGTGTGTAATTTGCCTTTTTCATATCTTTTACTGTTTTCATCTAATCCTGCTTTAGGTTTTTAGGCATCATTGTGATTTTTCAGAAAATAAATGCGTTGCTATGGTTGCTATGCATTTAACTTTCAGTGGCTCACTGGACCTTTCTGAATCTATTCTTCATGTCCAAAAAAAGTTATAGATTTATAGAGTTATAGATTTCTGTCAAACACAAAGTCTGAAAACTCTCCATAGAAACACAATGGAGATGCTGCTTGAAATCCGAGCTGTAATTCTCTAACAGGAGGCATTTTCGAATTGTCATATCTCCTAAACGAAAGGATGTGAAAACGTTGGTGTATTCAAATTGAGGAGATTTAGACTGATTGACTGGCAAAGGAACACACAGGCCACTCCATGCTCTATGTGTGTGTGTGTGTGTGTGTGTGTGTGTGTGTGTGTGTGTGTGTGTCTGTTTGTTTGTCTGCGTTTATGTTTGCGTGCATGTTTGTACACATTGTTTGCTGGACGTGGGTTATGTGTCTCTGCGTTTCTGTGTGTCAGCATTGTTAAGCATGTAATGTTTACCTTATTTTAACTTATCTCCTGGCTGTTTCTTCTTGCTTTTCTAAAGTTTTTTCCCATTTTTGAGTTGAAAAGTAGTTCTGAGGAAACTTGAGCTTTTTTCAGCTGGCCATTTTGCTTTTCCAAGATTTCTGGTAAATTATAGCATTTCTCCTGCTATTTTACATTCTACTAAGTTATACTATTATATTATTGTATATTAAGTTATACTGTTACACTCTTTCTGCCAAGTTATGTTTGTCCTAAATATTAACATTTCTGCAGAATTACAATACTTCTGCTATGTTGTACTATTTCTGATAAGTTTCTTCTGAGTTACTGGATTATTTAATAACTGGAGTTATTACAATTTCAACAACTTTTCAACTAGTGATTTCAGCATCTTCAGCTATTTTCAGCTGTTTTCAGCAGACAGTTTCCGCCTTACAACATTCACACAGCATTTTAGCAGGAAATGCAATTTTTCTAGTGTGTGTTAACATTTACTTGTGTGTGTAGGGTAACAACAGACTGACCTTTAATTTGATCCTTCATGTCTTCAGAAGCATGGCTGGACTTTTCTTCCTCTGTTTTCAGGTTGTTGGGCTCTGAGCGCTTCATGTCTATCGACTCTTGCTCAGTTTCTTCCTCTCTGCATGTAATCACTGTGTAGTTCTCACTGTCACCAGCAGGAGTGTCCAAATGCTGATACACTAACTCACTGCTGATATTGAACACTGTTGTCTTTACATGAGGACAAGTATCTGCGGGGATAATAATAGTAATACTGATAATATTAATAATGGTCTTACGTACAGACCTCACATTATTTCATGTCTTTCTGCTGTAGCAAAAAAAGCATAAAGCTGACTTTTACCTCCTGCAACAATCTGCTGACAGTCATGTCTGCAGGCAGAAGATGGTGCTGACGGAGGGTCGTTTACTTCCTCACAGTATAGCTCAACAACTAAATCTTCATCATTGTTTTCCTTTTACAAATGATGATAAAACAAGAAAAAAAAACACATATGAATACTAGAGATGGCACGATACCACTTTTTTATGTCCGATACCGATACCGATATCATAAATTTGGATATCTGCCGATACCGATATGAATCCGATATAGTGTTTTTTAATCAACAAAACTGTTTTTTAAAATATCTTG